ATGCAAACTATAGCCAGACACTAGTATTCCCACACAGGAATGTAACTGAACCTTTAAACACATCCTACCACATTTATTGTACCTAACAGCTGTTATGATTGTACACACTCCAGGCAGGAATCATGCCTTTCCAAAAAGCCACATATGGTACAGTGTATGTTTTAGGACATCCTTAGATCACAGCGTCACGTTTCCAATATCAGACAAACCGTTTCAGGCCTTAGGAAAAACTCAGTTGTGTGTCAGGTTGTACGGTCAGGCTAGACTAAGCAGCGGCTACAGACACCATGGCATTAGATAGTAAAGCAAATAGCAAATTAAAGCGAATTTTAGAAATGACAATGTACTGCAACCACAACGTTTACTGAACTGTGCTGTTATGATCTTCTTGTAATGGTTTTATTGCTCCCACGCCTGCTTCAGAGTTAGGATCCCTCTCAAAATTTACTCTATAAATACTACCAGCTGTTGCTTCAAGACTCATAAGTGATGTTTTGGGAAGTATCAACAGATGTACCTACAGAAATGATGATGATGATGATGATGGTGATGATGCTTCCAGTAATTTTGAGACTGACACTAACTGAATCAGCTGTGGGAGCAAAAAAGTGTTGTGTTTGTTGAAGCTTAATCTTTGTCAAACAAGAAAAAATTCTCAAAGTTTGGAAATCCTTCTGGTTGTAAAGTCTCAGCACGCAGTTAACTCATTAGGACTGATTAGGCAGGTCAAGAACTGTCTGTAGGAACAGCCAGCTGATGACTGACCAGAGCATAATGAATTCTCTAATACTTCAAACCGTTGCTTGCACAAACAGCTATAGGCATTTTGAAAACAATTGCCGTGGACTGGTAAAGTTCAAATGCGACTCTGTGGTCTCGATCACCAAAAAAATCTTTATTGATAAAAAGAACGTCTTGCCAGCTTGCCATGAGGACTTGTCTGTTATGCTTTGCGATTATGTGGCAGTCAGTGGCACAGGAAACATTGCATGGTTGGATGGAAGAATGGATTCCACTAAATATCAGCAAATTCTGGAATTAAATTTGGCACATTCAGGTAAGAAACTCAAACTCAACACGGCAATGATCCAAAACATACCTCAAACTTCACCATGACCTGCATGCAAGCTGAAGCTTTAGGGTTGACTCTGAAAGTCCCCGGATTTGAACATCACTGCGGGTCGATCTTAAACATGCTGTGCATACAGGACAGCCCAAGAACTTCACAGAACTAGAGATGTTCTGAGAATAGAAAGACTCCTATCTGGCTGCAAAGGTATATTTCAAAAAGGAGGTGAGATCTGCCAAAGGGAGTGCTAGTAAGTACTGACTTAGTAGGCTGTCCAAACTCTTACTTTTGTAATCAAATTAAAAAGTAACTGTGCAGTAAGATTTGCAGAAAATTGTTGGCTGCAGAGGTTGTGCTGACTTCTCTTCAAAAATCAGTTAATGCATTGGTGGATCAATAATGTTAGACTGGCCTGCATTAGAGGTCTGCATGGGCGGGTGCTTCAGCTGCCGGTCATGTTCTCCTGGGCCCACAAAATCTAGTGTCGTTCTTGGCCCAGAAAGCCTAAAGTCTTTTGGAAAGATTTAGAAATCTTTTCCTTTGGTGACCATCATGTATGGCCAAAGCCTGTGATTTATATACTCACACTGTACAAAAACACTCGGTCTGACTGACATGACGTGACATGGGTGCTCACACTGTATGTGAAATGCAGCTACAATAAAGCTGTTTCATTCAAAACAACACGCTGCGCCTCCGATGTCCTGATAAAAACACTGGCTGAATCTCAAATGGCTCCCTGCTCCCAACATAGTGCACCACATATTAAAATTGCTGCTCCTGCACCCATAAAGTGCATCACATGTCTAATAAATAGCCTTCTGAGGTTCAGCCATGTGTGCACAGTTCCTTTCTGGACAAACAGTGCACTATTTTGGTGTAGAAGATTCAGCCATTGACAAACCACGACAACAGCTTTGCTAACTGTGCCACACTGTGCACTGAAGCTGAGGACCAGGCGGTGTATAGACAGCTCTACGAAGACAAAAAAAAACATTACATGTATTTATACCTCCCAGTTCAACTCAGTCAAACGGAGCAAAGTCCGCATACATGGACGCTGGTGTCACAAATGTGGACTAGGAGCGGTGGTTGTGATTGTGTGTTGTTTTGGCTGTTTAGACTGTGAAACAAGCGACCAAAATTTTCTGACGTCAGAAATCTGTCTGATTGTCCGACTGCTCAATCGGAGCTCGTTTGGGCAGTTAATCGGGCATCGTTTGCCCTCTCACACCACACAACAAACAACAGCCGATGAAGCTGAAATTCGTCCCGATCGTAAAATTCAGTCGGCTCCGACCAAATCGGGCTTAAAAACGGAATGACCCAAGCCCACCTGCCTGCTTTGGGCTATATTGTACCTCAGCTGCAAAAATAAGCATTTCAGTGTTGCAGAAATTAATTTTTTCGTACATATTTTGTGTATTTTTAGGCTGAACAAAACCGTATGAATCCATGTGACATGGATGAACTTGTGCAGATCTCTAGCCTGCGTTAGTGTCATGTAATGAAACAAGTTTGCTTTACGTATCAGTATTACAAAAGCCAATATCACAAGGATTATCAATCATTATGCAGCCTGAGAAACTGCTTAACTGGACACTGTATTCACCTACCACTGTATTTGATGCATGACAGCACTATGGAGACATCAAGCTGAGAGAGCTCTGCATCTTAAAGGCCTCTGCAAAACAAGCCAAATGCTAAATCCTTAATGTCCATTAAACTGAGCCCTTCCTGAATTAGCGCAGTGTTGCAGGAGCTTTATTTCGCTGGCTCATAAACAGACTCGGTCGCTAGCACACACACACACACACACACACACACACACACACACAGCCCCTGATGTAGGCTGGTCTGCTCTGACATCAGCACTGTCTCCATTCATTAGCTCCAGTAACTGAGCTGACATCACCAAGGAGGGATCAGTGAGCTAAAAAGGCCACCCTGTAGCTGCGAGTCAGCAGGATGATGCATGATTATTGGCCCCCCTCCTACCACCTTCTTGTGTTTCCCTCTCCCCCCCATGGCCCACCACACCCCAGCTTCTCCCCTTTCTCTTGACGTGAAACGTTTTACTGCACCATCAATCAGACTGACGTCATGTAGGAAACGTTTGCAGGCCTCCTTTCGGGAATACATGCCCCCTCTCAAAGCAAGGCTGCCAGTGGTGACTCCATTTAAAGTCCTAAATATTTCAAATGTGTGTTCACTCGCCAGGCAGCGTTTTGAATCCTAATCCTCATATACTATATTTAGTGTTCCTGCATTGTTGCTTTATTCACAACAGTGTTGTATGCCTCAGACTCCACTGTGCTGGAAAGTGAGTGAATGTTCTTTGTGCACCTGTTAAAGCACAATGCAGTGTTCTTGCAGGTTATATTTTGGTCTTATGTTCTCATTTTGTGTACTGTTGCTATTGTAATTGTCTTTGGCTTATTGAAAAGCTCTATATGTTGATATTATTAGTCGACAGAAGTTTAAACAGTAGTACAAAGCAGTTCTATCTGTTCTTTTGTCCTTTTTTATCCGCAAGTGTCATACAGTGTCTGAGACCACATAAGCAAGTCTAATTGAGATTGCTTTACAACTTTGACACAAATTAATATAGGGATGTAAAATATTAGCCATTATCCAACAATTATAAACAACTGATCAACCAATACTTTTGGTTAAAAAAAAAAACATTCATCTTACTTTATTTCCAACAAAGAACAATTCCCATTTATATAGGCAGGTATATCATTCAGGTTGTGGGACATTTTTAAATTTTACACATGACTCTGCAGTTGGCAGCTGAAGTGTGCAGCTAAAAATAGTGGTGTTCGGGCTACTTTTCCAGAGGAGCAAACATCCACAAGCAATAAGACTGACTATTTCATTCTCCGAGAGAAAGTGTGACGCACCAAATGTGAAGAAAATCAGTCAGAAAAGAATGTGATGGAGAGTGATGGCTCAGAGTGCAGCTCATCAGATTTCAGAAGCTGTTGTTAAATTGATATTTTGAAGGGTTGCTTTTTTTATTTTGCCAAACCACTCATGCTCGTAGGTATATTTAGGTTTTTCCATCTGAATTTTCCATGCCCAAATCGGAAGGCAAATTATTCAGTAACTGCATGAAAAAACTGTGAAGTTTTATTTTTTTTGTAAAAGTTCCCCTCAAATTAACAATGTTTTATGCTCATAAACATAATGCTATATGCTTACAATCTACTGTTGAAAGCCAAAAATCTTGCATGCTCTTTGTATTTTTTTGTAAAAGTAATTTTTATAGAGCATTTCACTGAAGAGACGCCATCTGAGATCCAGTTTCTTGCTCAGATTTGTGGAAAAATGGGTCAACTTTGAGTAGAAAAACAAAGTTGTGAGTTCAGCTTCTTTTATTATAAGGGTTTAAAATTACAGTACCCATCTATTTGACTGGAAAGAAGACAGTTACTGCTCTCATATGACCCCCACCTTTTGGATGAAGCTTATAAAATATGCAAGTTATTAAGTAAAGAATATAACAGTGCGTTTTGGAACCACCGGTGGTCCCAAGGAGTTAAAGAGGTTAATGATTAATGTTTGACTAATGACTGATAATCTGTTAATGAACTGTTACGAATTAGCCATAATTCACATCCCTAGTTTGAGACACGGGTCTAATTTAGACATACTGTTGGCATTTACTTGTTGACCACTTTCGCCTCGTAGCTCCAGTGCAAAACTAAAGAAGCAATCTTTGGACACCGTGTCAAGCTGATGTTTTGAGTAAGGGGAACATTGTGAATGTTTTGTGTTTACCAAACTATTCCTTTACTACTACTTTCTTCACATTCTGCTTTCTATCAGAGCGCAACCTCTTACGTTCACATAAAAGTTCTGAATCACGATTCATTTTTTTTAATCCACTGACATTAAATCTTCCTTGTTTACTTGTCCTGTGCAGGTGTGGTCCTGGTGTGCTTTGAGGGAGACATGGACGGCTACATTAACCTGGTGGCGTACCCGTACGTAGAGAGCGAGGGCCTGGACCACGAAGAACTGCCTGAGAGGGACCAACCGCGGCGGAAACACTCACGCCGCAGCCTACACCGCTCCAGCAGCGACCACAAGGAGGACCGGCCGGCCCACGAGAGCGACAGCAGCGAGAAGTAAAGCTCTACTGACTCCCAGTGCTTCTGTGGTTCCAGTACCAGTGTAAAGTTTGGACACACCTGATTGGAGTCTGTGTTTATTAAGATATGCAGTACAGTATCAGCTTTTGATATTTTATTTGATAAAAATGTCTTCAACACACAATTAAAAACTATTCTATTTGAGGTCTGTCTTAGGAGACATTTGAATTCTCAAAAATGTTTGTGTATAAAACTCTTCTGCATTTCTCTAAGCCTAGAATATATAACCAACTTATAAAAAAGCCCATTTTCTGCCCACTTTACACTGGTAGGATGCACCCAGATGCCTAGTTCTGGTCATTAGCTACAACTCTATCCAAAAGATTTTTAACGCTTCAAAAAGTGTTATTAATTTCAACAAAACTTTTTTTCCATTCAGCTTCTGAAAAGTTGTTTATTGATAACTGAAATGTTGCGAAAACCTACTTTGGAAACTTTTTAGGAGGGTAAAATAGCACAAATTTAGTGATGTGACAGATTTCCCTCACATGCTTCTTACAACACACAAACAGCATGGTGGAGAGGCTGAGCTGGACTGCTGCCACTTTTCTGCTCTTACAGAGAGAGACATCCAGACGAGGCTACAGTCTTCCTAAATGGAAAGTGCTCAAACATTTAATGGCAGAGAAACATGATAATTTTACTCCTTTTCATTTTATCGCTTGTTTTGCGCAGAAAGCTATAGCTAATGACAGTGGTTTCCATGAAAGAGGGCGAATTAGACTCTCAGAAACCTTTTTTTCTTTCTTTTCGACAATGTTTTGAAATCATTACAACCTTGCTTAAAATAAGGAAGGTCTTTCTTGAGTATGTGTGTCCAAACTTTTCACTGGTACTGCATGTGAAAGACCAACCGCAGCATCCTCATGTTGATGTATTTAGTGCACTAGTTCACATGTTCAATGGCCTTTTCTATTGATTAGTACAGCTAAAGCTGAACAGGCCAGGCAAGCACAAAAGCATTGATCGTTACAGCCGATGAACATGCACTGAGGGTCATCAGTTAATTTATTGTGCTATTAACTCTCAGTGTTAGAGGGCAGTGTACTTCCATACAAGGAGTTGCAGTGTGCGATCACCACTGCTGTGCTTTGTGTAGAAGAATGATATTCCTCTGTGGTTGTGATGTAACCACACAAACCTCTGGGTTGATGTGATACAATTGCCTCAGGCAATTTATGCTTTGTGATATTTCTGTGGAAGAGCACAGCCACAATAGTGCAACTCAAAACCAGATCGTTGCGTCTGCTATGTTCAGAAAATCCTTTATGCTCCATGGTAGAGTAGCTGTTACACCACAAAAATACATACAATTTTGACTCTAAAGTCTGAACAACTCTGAACACTTCAGCTGAAAACATGTATTACTCTGTAACAATACATGATTGAAATGCGCTCAGCAAACACTGAAGTGAACACAAACTCTTTCAGTAATTCATATTCAGCTGCTTCATCTGGATCAGTATACTCCTGGCATGTGATCCACCCTACACTTTCAAAGAATGGGAGTTTGTCATGGTTGTTCACAATGCGGAGTCGATGCATGAGCACCTAATGTGGTTCTGTATTCATTTAAATGCTTAGTTTTGCAGTTTTGCTCTCCTGTTTTTAGACCTGGGAAGCAGTTTTCAGCACCTGTGTCACGTGTGGTACAGCCTCAGCAATATGCTGCTGAAGCAGGAAGGTCTTCTAACTGTGCAGAGACATTGTGGATGTGGGTCATTCAATTTGCATTCAGCACAGTGATTCATCAGTATCAGTGTTTTGCCAGCTGAGTCTGGTCACATACTCCGACCTTAAGCATTCAGAGCCAGAGCACACAAAGTAAATCTTTAGTCAAACCTCGTCTAGTCAAGAGACGAGGGCTTTTTGAACAGAATACAGCAAAGCTGTTCATAGCAACGCGATGAATCCAGCAGCTGCTCACATTCAGCAATATCATGCTGTGGCACTGAGACCTACAGATGTGCCGATGCTATGATTAGTTATTGAACTGTGATTGTTTTGGATTTTGCATTGATAACTTGAACCCTTGCTTTAATATGTATATCAGTCTGTCTATCTGCCTGTCTTTCTGTGTATTCCTACCTACTACTGTAGTTTTATCAATGTGGATGAAGCACTTACCTAAAAGTCACGGAAAACTGAATGTTTCTTGCTTTTTGTTTTATTTAATGTGGTCTCAAAAAAAATTGTAGTTTCTAAATATTCACTCCCCAGTCCATACAGTCCTTAAGGGGAAAGTAAGCTGCAGAAACAGCATGTTTTGAAGTTATAAAGAGCATTGCAGCCCAGACTGAACAAGCAACAATGAAAAAACCAAACACTCCCATTATGATCAATGAACCTGACTACACCAGCTGCGAGCACCAGAGCACGATGTGGTGCGATGCCGTTTTACCATTTTAAAAACACATATGAGGAGAAACTCATCCATGAACTGGAGAATCGGAGGGATCTCTACGAACCCTTCTGTAAATATTCTAAGGATTACAGGTACAGTTAAAGCAGTAACAGCCACCAGCAACAACAGTAAAAACATATTTCCCACAGTTTTCTCAGACGTTTTATTGATTTATTTGCTGCAGACCATGGCAAGACACTAGCATTCCCACACATAAACATGATTTAACTTTTAAACGTGGTCAGTGATGTAATTCAGCATAATTACCAGATGGTTTTAGGCTACGTTCACATTACAAGCCTCATTGCTTAAATCCGAATTTTTGCTTAAATCTGATCTCTCTGACACGATGGTTCACACTCATTTAGGTAACTAATTCAAATCTGTCAATATGACCGAACCGGCGTCCTGAAACGACCCGCATGCGCACATCCTACTCAGTAACGTCACGTGAATGAATCACGTGCATCATCAGCACAAACTAACGAGCAGAACGAGCTTCGCTGAGAAGATAATTAACTCTGATCAGCTCTCAGCTTCATTATCAGAGCGAGACGAAGGAGAAAAAGGTGAGACGTGTTGCTTTTCCTCCGTTTACAGGCTTTAACTTCTGTTCGCTGCTGCTGCCATGGTAATGCTGAATGAAGGCACACGTGAATTCCGATCTGAGCGTCACATTAAGGTCACATGGTCACGAATCTGATACGTATCCGATCTAGGACCACATATGAAAGTGGCTCATGTCAGATTTGAAAAGATCAGATTTGCGTGTCCACACAGCTCTGAAAACATCATATCTGGGTCACATTCGGGCAAAAAATCAGATTTCAGCCCCTTCAACCTGGTTATGTGAACGTAGCCTTAGAAACTCACTGGAACACACTCTGGTTCAGACCACTGCAGAAAGCAGTTTTCATGGCCGAATTGCAACACCAGCTTTTACTTGACTGCATTATCAATGTTCTTGACAAAGAGAGAGCCTTGTTTGCTTCTGCATCTACTGTAGAGTTAAGCTCTGTCTCAGAATTACCAAAAAGTTTCAGGGGTGGGAAAAAGTCCCTGGTTTAGCCATTCACCATGGTTATTTTCCACACAGTAACCTGAATAAGAGGATTCTGTTATGAGCACAGGTCTGCTCTTGGGCTTTACTAAGAATCCAGAGTTTAATAGCATCATTATGCCAGAATTTTTTAGCGTTACCATTTACGATCCAGTTATGATTTCACTGAATTTGTGACACAGATTGTGCCCCACAGAAACCCAGCACATCTGCTAAGGCAATGTGACCTCCAGTGACTCAGTCATTTAGAATCCTAAACTTTGAGGTTTGTTTGTGGTGAGTCTAACCATGTCTGCATTTCTTTCTCTGTATTCTCAGTCTGCAGGAGCTGAAGAGCCCACGGCTAGACCTCCAGATCCACTCAGACGTGCCCTTCCAAATGCTGGATGGCAACAGCGGCCTGAGCTCGGAGAAGATCAGCCACAACCCCTGGAGCCTGCGCTGCCACAAGCAGCAGCTCAGCCGTATGCGGTCAGAGTCAAAAGAAAGGAAGTTCTACAGTATCCTACTTTACATGTTTACTAAAGTGCTCTGTAACGTTCTGTAATGTTCATATCGTAGCTGTAGTCACTGACAGGTTGTGATACAATACAGGAAGCGTTGGGGGCTTCTGGGGGGCTCTGACAGAACTTTGAATGATGGCGGTGCAAAGAGCTGCACATTAACCACAAGTCTGAAAAATTGGTTAAACAAGTAAAAATCATCAGGTTAATCGATCACAGATACAGTCGTTAGTAGGAGCTGTCCGTCTGAGACGTAGAGTTAGAGGCCACAGAAAGAAAGGGCAGTTTTTTCTCAGTGTGGCAGAGATGTATTTTGTTTTCCTCTTGTTTTTGTTTGTTTTTGTTTTGTTTTGCTGAATCAGATCACAGAGATTTCCATAACAAGCTTAGTTCCAAATCAGTGCACAGATGTTGAGACATTGTTTTTCTCCAAAGCCCTCATGTCGCACTGGAATTTCACAGTAAAGAGAAAGACAATGGGGGGAAAAAATGGGCCTTTCTGTCCCTTTGTGTTGTCTCCGAGGTTAGAGGCTGCTGAGACGAGGGATCAGGTTCAGCTCATACCTGGTGGTCCCCTATTATTGTCTGAGTAAACTTGACCCTTCCCTGTAGCCCTGCTTGTCAAAGGCAAACATTATGCCCCACACAGCTGCAGAAACTAGAGACGGGCCAGATTGGATTTTCCGCTGTGCTCACACATTCCTGCCTTGTTTAGTTTTTAGCCAGAGGAGAAAAGAGGAAGTCAACACAGGTGACCACCCTCTGCCGCGCTAATTCTCTGATGGCCTGCATCCCCAGATGACCGACTGGAGGCACCACTTGGGTTCGATATTAGCATTAGGCAATTAAACTTATTGAGAGTGCCCCAGAAAGCAGGAATGAAATAGGTGTCAGTTTGTTCTCATTTCTAAATGACAGTATGTGGGTTATTGGAGTACCGTGTTAGTAGTTCTCTACTGCTGGAAGTTTCTATGGGGTATTTAGAATCAAGGACTTGTTCTCCAGTGATGTTTCCATGATGCTGAGCTACATTTGAAATCTAGTCACTGATAATGTGTGTTTGAAGTTATTTCTCTTGTTTCACCACTGTTGTTTAACTGGGTACCAGTTCCTTAACCCTGTATCCTCTCAGAATTTCTCCTGCTTGAGAACGTGGTGCACCACTTCAGCTACCCCTGCATCCTGGACTTGAAGATGGGCACGCGGCAGCACGGGGACGACGCATCCGAGGAGAAGGCCGCTCGCCAGATGAAGAAGTGCGAGCAGAGCACCTCCGCCACTCTGGGTGTGCGGGTATGTGGGATGCAGGTGAGGATAACTTTTCGTATTGTAAATGTTTTCTTCACTTTTCTTGTGTTGGGAGAAAGTTGCTTGTGCATGGGCAGTTCAAATTAGATCAAATGTAGTGTAATCTGGTAAGAATTAGTCAATTGTTTACTTTTGTCGAGGCAAGGCACCACAGGCAGAATTGCCGATTACATGTCGCTGTTGTTGGAAGAAAACCTTGCATCTCCAAAATGATGACTTTACAGGAAAAGGAAAAAACCTACTTTACTTTTAATGTAAGTCAATGGAACCAGACTTTTTTCCAAGTCATTTAGATCTGTTTCTTTTGGTCTATTCAACATGAAATTACACAATTACACACAATGTAAAGGGTAACAGGTATTTTCGAATTATGTAAAAAACTGGAAAACGACAAAAATGGAGATTATGAGGTTTTCTTCTGACAGCAGCGATACAAAACATGTCTTCTCTTGAACTGTGCTCATAAAAATGTTAAAACTCAACAGAAATGTGTTTATTTCAGTGTGTTTAGTCAATTTGCGTTCACTGGCAAATTAATTAATTTATTTATTTAAGTTAATTTATTACCTTTCATGAGCGCTTAACTCAGCCACAGTTTGCGTGTCCATGCCATGTTATTTATCACCTAAAAATCATTTCCTGTAGAATATAAATAAAGTTGTGTGTCTGTTTCCTTTGTATGAGTGACAGCATTCACACAAATGGTGCATGTTCCCTAAGATCTCATGGCGTAATGCAGTTCTGAGGCAAGTTCTTAAACTCTGAATCTCAACTGGAACACCAACATGGTTTTGTATGTTCGTGCCTAAACATATTCTGAGGGATATTACAGAAAGATTAGAAACGTTGCTCATTGCTGTTTAAAGGAAGTGTGAGGACATTATGCAATTCTGACATTCTAGACATACCCGAAGCTTCATACTTATGCACAAATGTGGTTCTACTACTTCTATGCATGCAGTCCCCTGGTCTGTTTGCAAAAGAACTTGGCACCAGTGTCTATGCATCCAATTCATAGTCATAAAACTGTATTGTATTTGGATCTGTGCTGAAAGTTTATGTGTATCTGTGCGGTTAAAATAGCTTCAGACACATTTAAGAATAAAAAGACTGGATACCAAGTCATGGCCAGCAAAACGCACATCCTGTTAACTGCTTGTGTGCAGTGTTGAACCCATGTCCGCTGCTTTGTTGAGGACAGTTTGGTGCTTTGGTCAGGCCCCTGTGCAGGAAGTGGCTTTCACTAATGGCTTTCCTGTTTTCTATCTCTAAAGCCTTGACAAGGCCTGTGAGGTGAGGAATCAGGCCCTTGGGCTGAGTGACGTTTCTCCTGTAATAGCTGCTCACTTCACTCTAACTTCTTGTCTTACTGATACACTGATACCTTTATCTGCATTGAAAGACCTGCAGTACAGAACTGCTGGTCCAAAAAAAGCCTAGTCCCGCTGAGCTGTGGTATTGATTGATGAATGTAAACATAGCTGTGACATTAGTACATTGTAATTTGCTTCAACAGTGATTGCATGGTTTTAGTCCCCTTTGTTGTGACTGTGGCTTGAATCTAAATATTTGAGAGCTGTGGCTTTTATTTCAGTCCTTATCTTTGTCACACTTGGTGCCCTGCTGCTTATCTGCAAACGCTTACTGCTCATCTACAAATGCTTAAACTGGTAAATTGATTATCAACAGGGTTAGGATTAGATTTTGGGTTAAGGTAAAAGATATTAGGTTTACAGAAATGTGATCTAACGTGGATTTTTATTTTGTTAGGTCACAAACTACCATTTTGGGCAAATATACTTAGTGTGTTCTAAATGCACATGATTGCGCAAGAAGTATCACAGTGCATTCAACAATAAGGGCGGCATTGGGTTTCTTTGATATAGTGATGGGAAACACAGTAGCACACAGAAAGCTCTAATTCCACATCTTGGCCCTTTGATCAACATGGCATTGTAGCTACTCTGGAGTAGCTTTTAATGGAGTAGAGGAGACATCGAAGATCCCTGAAGATACTTTTCCACCTTGTGGTACTGTGCAGTTACAGATCTGTGATGTCGTATTTTGCTGAGATTTCCACTGCCAAGTAACCCATACTGTGCTGAATTTGGTTACCCTTTTTTTTATGGGGTTACCAAGACCCAATCCCATTTCACCTCTCACCCCTACCACTTAGTCCTACCCCTCTGTTTTGCACGTTCACGCCTAGGGGCAGGGTGTCCCTATTTTTGTTGAGATAGAGGGGTAGAGTGAAGTGTTAGGGCTACATGGCCCTCCAAACAGAGGTTTTTTCAGAGACTCACTCCAAACTGAGTGTTATGAGAAAAAGAGAAAAACCCACTAGATGGCGGCACAAGCTGCCAAAGAAACCCACAAATGTGAATATTTTCTCAGTTAAAAAGTGATGGTAACCATTGTATTATCTTAGTTTAATGTTGTTTCAAAGTAAAGGTCCTTTTCTTCATAACAAGCATAAAAAAATCGCTAATAGTATGTTAATGTCTGGGTAGCTAGCTAGCTGAATTTCCTGTTTCAGCTTAAATAGACGCCTGAGGTGCCTCCATTTAAGGTGGAACAGGAAAATGTGAACAAGAAGCTGGCGAATAGTGAGGTTGCTGAACTTTACCCTCCTCTGCTGTCGCTGCAGACTGGCAGGGTCGCCTACAGAGCAGCGCTAGTAGCTTTTAATGAAGTAATGCTCTTTTTTTATTTGAGGGTTCCATTTCATAGGGGAAGATTTCGACCACTACCCCTTTGTAACTCAGTTCCGAGGGGCAAGATGACATTCAAAAACAAGGGGTAGGGTAAAAATAAGAAATGGTATTGGGCCCAAGTGTACCGAACCAGGATGTATAGGTGGCGCTAGAGCTAAAAAGAGCACAGACCGTTGATGTTGGTTCAGTTATTACAGAATTGTCACACATTTGTCATTCGAAATCAGCAAGCAGCCATTTTTTTTTTTAAGTAATTTTTTTTTAGTAAAAACTAAATCTTGAAGCTCCTCTATTGTTGCTGCTGTCATTTGTGTTTACTGTAAACACAAGCCTCATGTAAGAAATCATGTGACCAACACAACCTCTAGAAAACTCTGCCTACTTTCACAGGGACCATTATGCGATGGGGTAATCGGCGCTGATACTCAACCATGGTTCAGATAGCTCTGGATCTGGATTAGTAATGGTACCATGACGTGCTCCGCTGTCCATGAAAAAGATTTGTTGTTGATGAGATGTTAGCTAGAGATAGGCTCAAAGACAAGGTTCAATTATATCTCTTCTTTGCCCTGCAGGTGTACCAGATGGACACGGGCCATTACCTTTGCCGCAACAAGTACTACGGCCGTGGTTTGTCCATTGAGGGCTTCCGCCACGCACTCTACCAGTTCATGCACAACGGCACCCAGCTGCGCAAGGACCTCTTTGAGCCCATGCTGGGCAAGCTACGCAGCCTCAAGGCCGTCCTGGAGCGCCAGGCCTCGTACCGCTTCTACTCCAGCTCGCTACTCATCATTTACGAGGGCAAGGAGCCCGAGCCAGCTGAGCCTCCCTCGGAGAAGGAGCCTCTGGCTGGTCAGACTGCCCCGGACCCGTCCCTGCTCATCCAGGAGCACACCCCACCTCTCCCTCCTCTTCCTCCTCCTCCTCCTCCTCCACCGCCTTCGGACCCTCATAGCCGCCCTCCACCCAGTGTGGACGTGCGAATGATAGACTTCGCCCACAGCACCTTCAAAGGCTTCCGCGATGACCAAACGGTGCATGACGGACCCGACCGAGGCTACGTTTTCGGACTCGAGAGCCTCATCAACATCTTGGAAGCGATCCGGGAGGACAACCAGTAGCCGAAGCCTTCCCCTCACCCCGTCGTCTCCGCCCACCCAGCCATAAACCCCACCTCCTTCCTCCCTCTCATCCTCAATATTACTGTACTCTTGATGTGATCGCAGAAAACAGTAGTAACATTTTTCTGTGAGAGAACGGCACAGTGGTACATGCAGGAGCCAGGGAGAGGAGCAGCCTCCGTTTCTTTCGGCTACTGGCAGTCACACCATGAGGGTTTTTTTTTCAAGCTTCAGGGGGAGAAATGGAGGTGACCTCTACAAGGGTCTTTACTCGGCCCCCACCTTCAGGACAGAAATGGCAGGAAACGGCCCCCTCGAAACAGGAGAGGGGCACGCTTTTTTGTGTGTCCTGTGGATTCGTCGCCACCATGTGGCCAACCGAAGAATTGCAGTCAAGATAGGATTTTTAAGCAGGCAGCCACAGCTCAGGGCAAGTCCAGGGTCAGGTCCTCTTTACAGTTTGGGGGTCGGTGCAGGGAAAGCGTCCGTCTGTCTGTCTGTCTGTCTATTTTGTATGTACGTGAGTAAATGTATGTGTGGAGGATAGAGATGTGGTGGCTGGGGAGTACATGTGAAACTCCCCACGTCAGTATTCCTACAGGGGCTCAAAAAAGGGAGCAGGTTTTGCTCATTTATTGTTTGCGAAAGCTTTACTGTAAAATAAGGGGGGGAGGCCCATCAGGCCCTGCCTGTTCTCCCTGACAAAAAAAGAAGGTGAAGCCCACCTTTTGGCATCAGTTACCATGCACAGCCTTGCTGTGTGATAATCCAGTTTGAGGTCACATGCTTTTTAATTTTTAACTTATTTTGTTTTTTCTTTCTTTCTTTCTTTCCTGTTTTTTAATGTTGCTGTTTCTGTTGCCATCTTATCCACTTCAGTTAGAGTCAGCGTTGCATTTTAGCATTGTGCTCTTTCATTTTGCTTATTCGTTTTGTATTAAGGTCTTTCTTTTTCTCTGGTTTATGGTAAGGCAAGACAGTCCTAGGCATGTGTTTTGGGACAGCACACGTATATCCGTAGACCTTTTATGTCACCTATGTTGTTTAAAAGGCTCTTTCGGTCAAATATGGTTATGCTGAAAGTAAACCATCCTATCTTTTGCGCTGTAGATTGTGTTATCAACACATCATCCTGCAGCATGGTTCTTTGAGTTTCTTTACCTGCATTTTTCCCCCCAGGCCTTCATTTTTATTTTTAACTTTTCATAAATTATTCACACCGACTCACAGTGAACCTTTGTCCACCATCAGCACATGTAGCAATGCGATTCAGAGGAGGAAAAAAAAACAAATATGAAGAAACATAATGTCACCTTTCCTCAGCCTTTTAGCTCGTCGTGTCCCCTTACCGTCACTGTGGGTGGAGAATTGTCTCCTCGTAGTTAAACGTGGTTAGGGTGTTCTCTGTGTAGGTGGAACAATTGCACTGTAGCCATTGCCCTTTTTTAAGACAAGTGGGTTTATTTTTTTCTCCCCTTTTTCCCTCTCTGGCACATCACAGGCCCCATTGGGTCATATTTTTGTAATAAAAATGCAGTTACATGCATATTGTATTGATATTACCAGTGTAGTATTGTTATTAGATTATGACACCCCCCCACTACCATGAAGGTACTGCTTCTATTATTGTAGATATTGTTGTTATTATTTTTTCTTTCATGTCAGTGACTCAGAGTGGTCGGCCATTATGTGTCTAGATTAGATGAGATCTTTCCAGAAAAGGAGTTTCATAGAAGTCGTGTCGTCATTCTGTACTGCTAAAGCAAACAGAAGTGTTGTACACCCTCTGCTTTTGGCTGGATGGACATTTTTACTCCCAATGTCGCTGGATCCTGTGATTTATGAGGTCAGTATGGAGTCGAAATATGAATATTGCTATGCGCAAGTTAACGCTAGTAAGACAACCACACCAAAATACCCCAAACACAAGCTTTGTCAAATGCGGTAGTTCAGTTGATTTGGTAGTGGTAGTCTACGGTTTGTATTAGGGATGTGCATGTCCACCGAATTTTGAAATTTGAGTCAATGTAATCGGCGAGTACTCGGTTAACCACATGGAAGAGGAAATAAAAGGACTTTGGATTAAATTAATGTCATGCTGTCAAAAACATTTCCAAGGGAAATCTGTAGATTTTAGATTTTTTGGATGAGTAGAGACTTCCTCTTCAAGTGAGCTGTGTGCCAACAGAGAAACATGCCTTCACTGTTTCTGGACCTAGATAATGTTAGCTTAGTTAGAACCTAAAGTGTAATATAATACACTTACTTACTCACGAATGCGAGCAAAAGTCTTATTTTACTTGACTGTTCAACCATAAAATGGTTGTCTTACAGAATTTATAGTTCATTTTCTGTCTTAACACGTAACGTGTAACAAACACCAGCCAAATAGTGAGATCAGTATTGAGTATTGGCTCTTTGAGTGGTCAACCGTGTACTTGTGCAAGTGTGTACATCCACAGTGAGTAGCTGGCGTTGTTATGTAGGCCTAATTGTGTTGAAGTTTAATACTAAACTAACTTTTCACGCAGTGTCATTTCAGTGCAGCGTTACCTCACTAAGCGACCTCGTAATTCTGAGATTCCAGTGATGTTTGGGGGAAAATGTACACAGGACAGAAACAACAGCTTTGTAACGCTTTGTTTAGTGTAGAGTGGGATACCAGCGACTTTTTGAATATTGTTTTTATAGAGCAAAGCAGTTTAATACCGATGACTTCAGAGGTGCACTGGTGAAATGGTTTCCATCTTATGTCTCTTGGCTCCACCAAAGACAAACAGAGCCTTTAGGAGTTTGCACGTTTCTTCAACAGTTTTCAGGTATAAAATCTCCATGGAAAGAGAACTAATTCAAATTTAAGAGAAAGAAAATTGATTTAAACCATGAAATGGTTTAAATTAATTAGAAGCATAAATGCCATTGATGTGACATCCTCACATCCTCGTATATAAAGTAAATGACTGTGTAAAGTCCATTTTACAGCGTATATTCTTACTATTACTAATTTATGGAAAAAGTTTGCATTGACAAAACAATCAAAGTAGGATCTAATCTAAATGTACGATGTCTTTAAAAAAATCTCTCCTGTTTGCGCTGTGTGGTTCATCCTGGTCATGAAAAATGACTGAATTGTTTGCCCCACTTTAAAATGTTTTGTGAATTCTTCCTTGAAGGAATAGTTCAGTCATGCTAATGGGTGGCTGCTAGCTTCTGTTTACTGTCAGCCACATTAGCATGTTTGTGCAGTTTCTTGAAGGTTCTTTAAGGTCCTGCAGTGTATAAGTGCTAATTAGGATGCAAAACTGATTCTAGATCAGCACTGATAGCTCTGGGCCTTGATTACTGTACTGTTTAATGATAATACTGGTCTGTTTTAAAATCTGTTCTGTGCCAGAGCAGGAGAAAGGAGCGCGACTAGCAAAAAGGGAATTTTGCAGTCCATTGTGTCTGTCACAGGGATCGCGATGAAGTCCACACGGCCTCCTCTGTGGCTCATGTTCTTGGTCTTTCCATAGATGTGAGGTAGAACCTGTAGAGAAAAATCTATTATCCAAAAAAGTATTCTTTTTTTTTCCCCTTTTGTTGTTGTTGCATGGATGGATATTTTTTTAAGACAAATATAAGACATATTTGAATGTGAGTTATAAAACATTTATTTAAGAAAACTGTTGTCTTGCCTTGTTTCTTTTTGTCTTTAATGAATTGACGGAATCAGTAATAATCATATAATTGAATGCAAAAGTTTGGGTGCGCTGGGTCAAATTACTTTGTAGAGAAGTGAAAATAAGCTAACGTGCTCTACCACGATGACACGCGTACATTGTAATGCATGATTACTGTTTATTTGTTGAAGTCAGCATATTGGGGGGGGATAGGACATGGGATGAGATTGTGGCATGTTTTATATTTTATGCCTTATTTTTTTCCAATAGGTTACATTTATCACATATGTGCACTGCAATTTCCAGAGAACTGGCATATTTAAGTTTGTTCTCTGTAGTAGATGTTAAATTATTACAATCAACAAAACGTCATTTGATACCTAATTAGATACCTAAAAACAAAAAATTGATGGATTGCACCATTCCTTGTGGATTATAGGCCTGTGTATGAAGCCCAGTGGTGAGAGAGAGCACTCCATCCTGATGGGAAAACAAATGAGGCTCAGTGTAAATGAGGGTTTATGAAAGGGTCAACATCAAGTTTAAATATGACTGCAAGGGCTGTTTCATTATTGTTCTTCAGATATTCATAAAGTGGACCATGAAAGACCATGATAGGCCCATATGATGCATAGAAATGGTGAAAATAAAATGGATCACACTAACAAAATATGGTTCTTCCAGAACGCTTTTTGGTGTTATATAGAACAGTTCCTATGCTGATAGATGCTGGATGTACACTACATGGCCGAAAGTATGTGGACCCTGATTCCCCTAATTACGTTCAGAGTTCAGGTGCCACTCTCAATCTGGGTTTGGCGGATGCCAAGAGAACACTAGCTACCAGAATGCATAGTGCCAACAGTGCCGTTCGAGTTTGATGAAGGAGGGATGATGACCTGGGGCTGTTTTTCAGGGTTTGGGCCCATTCGTTCCAGTGAAGGGTGATGTTCATGCTACAGCACACGAAGACATTTTGGACAATTTTATGCTTCCGACTTTGTGGCAACAATTTGGAGAAGGCCCATTCCTGTTCCCGCATGACTGAACCCCTGTGCACAAAGCGAGCTCCATAAAGGTGTAGATTTGATGAGCTTGGTGTGGAGAAACACAGTGGCCTGCACAGAGCCCTGACCTGAACCCCACTGATCACTTTTGGGATGAATTAGAATGTCTGTTGTGAGCCAGGCCTACTCATCCAACATCAGTGCCTGACCTCGCAAATGCTCTTTTGACTGGGCACAAATTCCCACACACTCTAAACTGTTGAAAACCTTTCTAGAAAAGAGTGGAAGCTGTTCTAGCTACAAAGAGGCGCATCTCCATATTAATGCCCATGGATTTGGAATAGGATGTCCAACAAGCTCATATAGGTGTGATGGTCAAGTGTCCACAAACTTTTGGCCATGTAGTGTAGTAAGAGGTTCTACTGCAGCTCTACATGAGAACCTTCTCTCTCTCTCTCTCTCTCTCTCTCTCTCTCTCTCTCTCTCTCTATATATATATATATATATATATATATTAAATCAAGTTGTTTTTTTATGTCTACTTTTTATGCCTCATCTAAGTAACAGCACTTTTAGCTTCAGTGAGGTTTTGGGCTCCTTAACTGCATCTTTAAGGAAGCTGAACTGAGTCGCTTGTGTTTGACTGTATATCGGTGTTTGTAGAGCAGCGGCTCTCCGAGTCCAGCAGTTCCCTTTGTGGACAATTAGGTTTATCTCATCTAATCTAAAGCTGAGTTTATATATAAACCAGTATTCGGAAAAACTCGTCTGTACATTAAAATCGTTACATCACATTCAGAAACCCGGTTTGTTTTTGGCCGTGATGAACTGACAGCGCAGTGTTTCTACTTCCGCGCCACGTTGTTCTTCTGTGATTGGTCGAGGCTGAGGACGAATGGGGCGCGGCCAAATCACATACTGCGGCATATACCATTCCTGAAGGGGGGGGGGCAAATAATTTTTCTTAAGAATAGCAGCAGGACTGGCTGTAGTTCAACCGTAATTCACATACATACAATTTCCTTTAACTCCCCAGAAGTGCTGCTATTATCCTCAAATAACACTTTGACCTGTGTTTAAATGAAAAAAAAAAACAGTAAAAAGTACCTCACAAACACAGACTTTAAAACACACTTTTATAGAAAGACATTGTAAATTTGCTTAATTTTCGATTTTTAGAAAAATATAATCATTATTTGTGAAAATACACTCATAATTCTCCATATATGAGCACAGATTTACCGAAAATAATTATTATATGAGTTCCTATGATACTGCGCCCCCCCACCCCGCGTATTTGTATAATGTGAATAAAAGAAAGTAAACAAAACTTTCATCATTTCTGATTCAGTTGATTCTAATTCAGTTCAACCAGAGTGTTTTGATGAGAAATAGTCACTTGTAGAGAAACATACAATCTTTTTTTCTTTAAGAATTCTTAATGTAAATTCATATAAAAATACATTTTACTGCTAGAGCTCGATGATTGATTGGCGAGCGGAGCAGCTCATTGGCTGTTCGCGCAAACTGACGTCATGAATATACATGAGCCGCCGTTTTAAACTCCTATAACTCGAGTTTAAAAGCTCTTAAAAATATAACAGCGGTGTTAAAACGTTTTATGTTATTCATTGTTCAGGAAATAAATTATTCTTTTACATTTAAAATGTTGAAGCATTTATAAACTATGATTTTGCTCAAATGCTCCATATCAACCCATTCATTTCGGACTCGCTCGGGAGCGCCCTCTAGCGTCTGAGAAACCCGGAGGACATTGCAGAGCGGGGATTCTCCTCTCTACAAGTTCTCTGGTAGTAATTCCCCTTTAACGAGATGGTACGTTCCGTTGACCATCGACCTACTACGTAGTTGATCAGGCCCGGCCCACTGGTCCGGATCTGCCTCAGGAGTGAACTGGGCTCTTATTCAATGAATTAACTCTGTTTGTGACTCTGTAGCAGCTCCGTTAGGCAGCAGTGTGAGCCTCATTCCTGTAACTGCCCCCTCCGGAGTGACAGAACTGCTCCTTAATCTGCTTTTCGGGAGATTTTGGGACCAACGAGCAACCGGATCCACAAGTTCAGCAAGTGAAGCTGTCACTGGTGAGTGAGATGCTGCTGCTGTGTTCGCCGGTGTTTCTTAGTTACCGGCTGTGTTATAACGATAATATCACCAACTAACCTAATATATAAAAAGTATAATAACAATGTTTTGATATATAAACAGTTTTGGAGGTATATCTGTTACTAAACGGTGACTTGTGGCTGTGAAACGAGGATTTTAGCTGGCGGTGCAGTTGATAGCTAAGAAAGACTGACAGTCATTAGCGAAGTATGAAGTTACAGATGCCAGTTTATTCATCCATTCAGTGAGAATTGTTGTTTTTTCGCTATAACATTTATCTGAAATACTGTGTTTGACTTAAAATAAGGCGTTTTATATGTTCTGGCCTGTGTCAGTTCTGTACAGCGAGTACAGAAATCAGCTTCTCATTCGGATTTTTCCGTTCCACCTTAAATAGTGCGTCTGTTCCGTTCTGGCGCCTCAGGGAGAGTGTAACAGAATGTGTTCATTCCACCGTTTAAGGTGGAACGGGAAAATTCGAAAGGGTCGCGATAAGATAATCTAGATAAATAAGTTTCACGAGCTTAATCTAGTTTGTAGGAGTGGAAGAGGTGTGTAAGATGTAGAGACAGAGATTAATACCTTGTAAAAACAAAAAGAGAGTGTTTATAATGTGATAGTGTGATCTTTCGCAGGAGCTGTGACTAATCTTATTCATTCATTCATTAACTACACAGTAGTGAAGAGGAATGCAGCCACTATGACACAGACAGTATTATGATATTATAATAACGCCCTAAAGTACGAATGGTATTTCTTGCCCAATGTTTCCATTGTCAGTTCCTTCTAGGATGTGTGGGTTTGTCTCCTCCTCTGACTCCGCCTTTTCCATTCAGGTGCAGGTGTAAGCTGGTCATACCTGATGCTCCTGTGCATCCTGTCCCTTTCCAGCCACGTCTGACTGCTCTTCTGTGCATCCGCAATGAAAGCTCTGATTCTCGTCGGGGGCTACGGCACTAGATTACGGCCCCTCACTCTCAGCGTGCCAAAGCCACTGGTGGAATTCT